ATTAATTGTTAAGCATTTATAAGAAGCTGTTGTCACCATTCAAGCACGTCTGATTGTCTAGACATTTTTAATCAAGGAATTTGATGTACCTGGCTTTTACGCATTTTAGTTGAGTACCCCTTCCTTAGGCTGATTAAGGTTTATACAAAGGTAATTAAGTAATGTACATGAGGCGATGATGTCAGTCATCCCTAGTTAAATTGCTTAAATTGCAGTATAAGTGCATTTTAGACCCAGCTTTTTCAGTGCACTGGATGAGAGTGAGCGGCCCTTTTTCCTCCATTTGCCTCTGAAACTAAGGAAGGCACCTTGAAACATGTGACAATGTGGAGAGTAACTGTTTGTTTATTATTCTGCACAGGTCATGACTGTTCAATTCGGTTGTGGAACCTGGACAGCAAAACGTGCGTACAGGAAGTCACCTCTCACCGGAAGAAGTCCGATGAATCCATATATGACGTTGCCTTCCACCCTTCTAAGGCATTCATAGGGAGTGCTGGGGCAGATGCCCTGGCTAAAGTATTTGTATAAACCCCAATTCACAAAATTCAGAGCAAACTCGCCCTCACAATCAGACAGCGAGAGAAAGATCTGACTGCTTCACTGCCATTGTGAAAAGAGTAGCGATAGCTACTAACACTGAATCAGCCTCGGGTGGCACCTGAGTGAACATGACAGGGCTAAGCGGTGGACCGTTGGTTTAATGAAGCCTGGGTGAAGTGCACACTTAGTTTTTAATGTTTTGTTTTGTTTCCCCTTCAAACTAGAAGTTGAACAAAAAATGGTTAACTGTACCTAACTGTACGTCAGAGCTGGAGTTACATCAGTGTTTGTCTATTTTTTGATTGGGTATAAAATGAGGTAATGACATTGTATTTGAAGTATGTTTCAGTGACCATGGAATAGTATAATGTTCATTAAAAGGTCATCATCAGTGACCACAAACAGGGCAAAGATGCTGCACCAGAGGAATTAATCCCTCTTACCGCATCGGGTGCACAAGTTACCCTCTTGACCTTAATGTAGCGTTATATATAAATTAAGAAAGAAAAACATGATTCAACTCAATTTCTTCAGCTTTGCATTAGCTTCAACAATTTTGTGTAAAAAATGAGTATAGTTTTTATAATCCTTTTTTATATAATTGAAGACTCTGGTAGCAGATGGCATTTTAAAAATAAAAATGGGAGTGCTTTCCCCTTTCCAGCCCTCCATCTCAATCCACCTTACATCATAGGAAGGCTTCAGCACATTTTGCCCTTCCCAGTGTTGTTAACTTTATTTTACTGCATCATGGAACAACGGTAGAAGCACATGTCCTCAGAGCTCTTTAGATATCTACACATAAACAGCAGCATCCTATCACTATGTGATGGTTTTGTACATCTTAATGTAACTGAGTTTATTTATCACAGGTTAGACAATGGAACGCTTATTTATTTCACTGTTTTGGGTTAGTCTTAGCCTCTTTTGTAAAAAATAAATAAATAAATAAAAATTGAGAATAATTTGTAAGATTTGGCTCTTAAGAAGAAAGTAGAAGAGCAAGATGAAAAAATGTTTTGCTCTTTTTAAAACACGGTTTCATCCTAGGCTAAAGATGAAGTTTAAATTTATCTTTATTGCATTTTTATAATTGAAGGGGTCTGGATAACTAGCATTGGCTGAAACACAGCTGAGTTGTTATTCTGTCCCTACCATTTATCTTATAAGCCATTTTATTTTTAAACCTACAATTTATGGTGTAACTAAGACCTTTTGTTTTGTCTAATGCATGATTAATACAATAAAGTATTTTTTCTAGTCTTCCCAAAAAGGTTCTGATCAGTTTGAAGGGTTTTGATGAGGTTTTTTTTTTTTTTTTTTTGAATTACAAATTGAGTTAGCAGATTTTAAAGACTGTACCACATAGCAGAATTCACCTGTTGAAAAGTCGTGTATATAAAATGTCTATAATAAATATTAAATGGTGTACCTGTATACTGAACCAGTTCCATCTCTCACTGCTTTATGCCTCTTTTCTATAGTGATTAATAACCAGCAGTGTGTATCTTAATATTGTTTTAGATTAAAACAAAAGACTGGATCATTTTGAAGCATATTGATCGGTGGAGAAATGAATCTTTGAATTAATTTGAATGACTCCACGCTTTTAGACAAATGAGCAATTAGCTATCTTGTAAAAATACCTTGTCCTTTATTGAGAAGAAAGTAATAAATTAAACAGACATGTACAATCACTGCTGTTGCTTCTCAGTTTGCAAGGCACTTAAGCATGCATATTTATGTGTATATAAGAAAGACATGGTAAGAGCATAACTGAACATTAAACATAATTTAGGAAACAAGTAATTGTGTGATCAAAATGTTAGTGTGTGTATAATGCAAATGCAATTTGTGAACATGTAGAATGTGAATATAAGATTTGACCATAATATATTATGAGAAGATGTAATTAAGCAAAAAGTTGTGCATTACAGTGCTTGTGTAAGTGCATGGTGTGATATAACCCAGAAGATGCTATGGTTTGACCTTTAACCTGTCGAACTTCTCTCAGGCTTTCTGTAGTACCAATGATCTGCACAAGAGGGCAGCCTTTGCAAACCTGCTGTCTTTATCCTAGGCATGGACGTTAAAGCTCTCTTGGGCAGCCAGTGATAGACACAGCAAACCTTTTTTTCTTTTTTCTTTCTTCATTCTTTCGTTCTTCTAGAATACCAGAAACCATGATGCGTCTCTGATAATAACATCTGCTGTTGTTAGTATGAGTTTAATATAGAGTTACACTGTCTCGGAATAAGTCATAGAATCCTTTGGTTTAATCGCACTACTAAAGCAACAACCATGCAGACTCCTCTCATGACAAAACAATATAATAAAGGGACCATCTCTGCACAGAGAGAATACACCTCGATTGAAAAGAAAAAATACAACTACTTTTGCTTTAATAGGTGAAGAATTGACCAATAAAGCTAAACCAAAACATTGTGTGTGTGTGTCTGGTGGGGGGGGGTTACAACTAGTTTTCTCTTTCTTGCTTTCTTTTTATCTACTACCTACCTACCCAAAATCTATAACTTTCTAATTGAACTCTGTGAAGTCCCTGCAGATTGCCCGTACGATGGGTAGCTCAAACTGCTCGAGGCCACTGAACTCTCGGGTAAAGAAGACGTGTGTGTCTTTGGGCTCTGATGCCATGGCTTTCAGGTCCTCCATTGGAGCCCAAGCTACACCCACAGTGAACACTGTGATCCCTGTAACAGGACAAGTTTTAGAGGTTAGGATAGCCATCCTAGGACATTTCTATCATTTGCCTTCAATAGTCACCATGTTTGTATTAGAAAACATTATCTCAGCTGATAAATGGTGGAGTTAATCTCACTTTGTCAAGGTTCAAACAACATGATTTTGGCTCAGGACTAATTACTCACCTTGCCTTTGAGCAGCTATAGCTGGCCCTTTAACATCATCATAGGACTGGCCATCAGTAACAATGATAAGGAACTTCTTGCCTGAACCCATAGTACCGGGCTGGAAGAGATTCTCCATAGCATAGGTGATGGCATCTCCAGTGGCTGTACCACCACTTAGGTATGGGATGTTCTGGAGGGCTCTCAAGGCTTCATCCTTTTTTGTGTAATCATTGAAGCCAAACTCCAATCTCTGGTCGTATGTGAACTGCACAGCCCCAATGCGTGAGCCAACGTCAGAAATGTCGAAGTTACGAGCAATAGAGCTTAGGAGGCTTAGAACTAGTTTGAAGTTTGTATCACCCACACTGCTGGACCCATCGATCAGGAAACCCAAATTGACTGAATTATAGCATGTCTTGCTGCAGAGCAGCTGGTCAATAGAGCAGAGCTTCTGAGCCAGAGGCTTCACAAACTTACTTGTGCTGAACCAACTTGGTATGGTCATTGTGAAGAAACCATTGTCTTTGCACCCTGCCTGTAAGACACATATTTGTACTCGGTAGCCATCTTTTCAAATATTATTTTTTCAACAGAAAAAAGAGGCTCCAAAATATTTTGACACATTTAATCCATATTTGTCTTTGAGAAACCTACCTTCTTCATGAAGTCTTGATCCCTCACCATTCCCATCTCCTCTGGGATAGCTTTGGCCACATTCACTAAGAACAAGTTAATTCCAGATTCTTTAGCCATTACTGATGCGTCCTCCAAGTTGTCAGAGGGCCATCCGTCAACAAATGCCACAATAATCCGTGGATGACCTCTTCGCGTTCCAAAATCAGGATTGAAAAAGTTCCTTACTGTATGGAGTATGGCCTTGCCTGTGCACAAAGTAACAAAATATGAAGCAAAGAAACTACAGGTTTGACGGAACCATAAGGTTCAGACAAAATGGCTGGTGACATGACCATCATGCATCATGTCATGTGTTTAAAGTAGAACTATGCACCTGTATTAGTGTTGCCCCCACCAAAAGCTACCTCTTTGAGTGCAAAAATCACATCTTTGGGCATGCTATAGTTGCCCAGGTAGAACTCAATCCGAGGTGTTTCACTGAAAACATAAAAGTGAACATTACACAAATGTTTCTTTTGTTAAACATTGATGATATTTATTCTGAACAAAACAGAAAGACCTGATACACACCTGGCTTGCACCACTCCCATATGTGGTCCATCTGGTCCAACCTTCAGCATTGCTGCTAGTCTACCAATGAAGTTTTTCTGTAGGTTGAAGCGCCGATGTCCTATATGATAGCTGCTGTCCAGAATCATAGCTATATCCACAAGACAATCTGGAACAAGGCAAAAGTTATCTTAGCATGATTCACTTTCTAGAAAAGGACAAATTGTCGCTTTAGATCTGTGATTTGAGCTGTCAGGTCATAATCAAATGCACCTCTGTTTTCTGTTACTTGCGGTTTCTTCTGGCTTTTCTTGACAGCTTTCTTTGCTGCAAGAAGTAAAACATTGTGTGCATATTAGCCTGCGGAATATATAAGTAGTATATATATATATATTATGTGGTTCCCTGGTGGACTAGTGGCTAGCATGCATCACTCTCACCGCCGCAGCTTGGGTTTGATTCCCAGTTAGGGAACCAACCCCAGCCACTGGAGGGTTGCACGAGCCAGTGCATTCTCAATGCCAGGCCCAAGCCCGGAAAATGGAGAGGGTGTTCAAATTGGACACCTACTTGCTCCAGATGCTGGGATGTCAGCAGTGATGGTTTGACTGGACACTTCCATAGGCAAGCTGATTTTTCCTGAGAGAGAAGGAAGAAACCATTCTATTTCTCTATTTCATGTGAGACACTGATCATTTCCAATAACTCCATAGTTTCCAATCATTTCCAAATGTAACTGAGACATACAGACACTACGATCTACTGAAGTTGTCTCCTTGTGCTATCTTTAACAATTGTACAGGTAGTAATATCTGAACTTTCTCTTGAATAGGGCCCTAATGGTGGTTCCCATCTAATGGCAAAGTGTATTCTGATAACCTCTATGGTAAATTAATTGTAGTGCATTGTAGGATTTCATGAGCACGTTGGGAGATCTCAACAATGCTTCTGAACATGGCTTGAATATTCTTCTAAAATAGTGCACTATATAGCGAACGGTGCTTGCACGGACGAACGACCAGGCTACGGCAGCGGAGGTTCTGAAGAGGATCCTGTCGTGCGAGGATACCCAAGGGTATGTCTGATTTCCCACATTCAGAGTGGGCAGAAAATTCAGTTTGCTTCAATGTGGTAGTCTTGTGTAATGAGCAGAATTAGTGGTTAACGGGGGGCGCCCTAGGCTTTTTGCTGCACCCCAAGTTGGCGAACTTGTCCGAGAAATCTCAATTCTTTATTTGCTTTTGCTATTTTTGCTTTTTACTTTGTACGTGTCTTTCTGGGGGTCACCTCTCTCCACTCCGTCCTTCCTCTCTCTAAGTTGAGGTGTAGCCAGGACTGGAAATCAGTCGTCGAACAAACAGTTATTCTGACCCGAGGGGGCTGCTTGTGTTATAGACCTTAGTGAGCTTCGTACCATAGATACACACCTTGTAGATTGAAAGTGTGGTTAAGAACATCTCATGGCTCAGGTCTTATCTCGGTGTTATAATTGTTAAGGGATTTCTCATGCGTACTGGGTACTTGGGTCCCAGGGCGTTTGCCCACGCTTTTTATATGTACCCCTAGGACAATATTAATGGAATTAGCTCCACTGTTATGCTGTGTACACAGCTGTATGTGTGCGAGCCAGAGGACAGACAGGCTTAGTAAAGTGGAGGATTTGTAAATGAATTAGTGTGGTGTAACTCCTTTAATTGTAAAACAAATACTTTATTAGCCGATGTAGCTAAAGAATCTTTGACTACAAGTAACTCTGGATGGTTTTCTGTTCTTGTAACATTAAACCCGGGTGAAGCTCAGTCTATTGTGCTATGTGATTACTATAGTTCTTTCTCTCAAAATATTTTATAAATATTGTCACTACATGATGAAAATACTGGTTCTCATTCTACCTCTAGTAGATACTGTAAGCTACTGCGGTGTTCCATAGATTAATAACCATAGTCAGAATGCAGCTGCTAGAGTCTACTAGACTAGAGAACATATCACCCGATCTTATCCACACTGCATTGGCTCGGTAAAATTTCTGTTAATTTTACTATAAAGACTACACGGTTCACCACATATCTGCGTCTGGTTTTTTGTCCGCCAGCCTATCAAAAGTGCAGCTATTGTATTACCTAGATGTGAGTTACAGCAGGGGAAGAGCCGTAAGAGCCCCCAGTTATGGAACAGTTTCTATTAGTGTTCGGGATCAGACACAGTTCAGTGTTTAGTCTGGCTTAAAATTTACTCAGCTACCCTGACTAGATTATATCCACTACTCACAGTCTAATGTTTTCTCCCTCTCTCTCTCTTTTTCCGAGCCCCTACAATTTATGGAGATATGGAGATCCAGATCCCTCTGCCTCTGGATGAGCCCAAATCTTCTGCTGGGACTCAGCTCCTAAGGCCTACTCTCTTTTCCTATCTGTGTAATTCATCGTGTCAGATGGGATGGGTTTCCCTTCTAGTCGGGTTCCTCTCAGGTTTCTTCCTCAAAACATCTTAGGGAGTTTTTCCCTTACCCCGTCGCCACTCAGTGGCTTGCTCAGTTGGGATAAATTCATTTGTTTTCTACCTGTTTGTCTCTTTTATCTGTTCCTGTTTGTCTCTCTTTAGATGTTTCTGCTGTTCATACCTGTTTTTTTTCTGTAAAGCTGCTTTGAGACAATGACTATTGTAAAAGGCTATAAAATAAATGATGTTTGTAGTTAATAGGGTGTTTTGAAAAGTTTTGACATATGGAAAGTCGGCACTTTTTTAAATTTATTGGTCAGAGTGCAAGTTCCTAACCCTGGTCCTGGTGTATGTACAGTTTCTTGGTCCTGTTCTTATACACCCACTTTAACTCAGGAAGCACTGTTAATTAGCTGATTGAGTATGTTGGGAGCTGAGAAATCACAAAAATGTGCAGGACAAGGAGTACTCCAGGATCAGGGATGAGAAACGTTGGTACATAAACAGAACGTACTGAATAAAAATATAGTTTTGAAGTTTGCATAGTTACACAGTTATATATATTACAAACAGGCTTAACACTCGTATTTTTATTCACTACTTTCTATTCCATGAACCAAAGTTTCCCAGCCCTGGTCCTGGAGTACTCCTTGTCCTGCACATCTATATGTATATACCTATGTGTGCGCGTTCATGCAGCAGAGAGCGAAAATGTCGCCACCTACTGGCTACAGTGAATGATGCACTCCAGCTGGACAGAGACTGCGTCTGGATGCCGTGCGCGTAAGAGCTGAGATAGTGACTCCTGCCCGCCAGTTTCTGGATCTCCAGAGGTCCTCCTGACGCACTTATAACCCCACTGCAACATTCAGAGGGACGGTTAGGAACAGTTCGTTTTCAAATTACAACGTTGTACCTGTTTTAACCTAAAGCTGTTCACTGAGTGTGTAAAAATGACAGCTTGGTTTTCCGTGTATGGTAGAAAAGGGCACTGAGATAGTGTGATATCTAACTGGATAAAGTATATAACTAGTCAACGTAGTAGCTACATACATCAATACATATACAATACATAAACAATACAATACATCACGACTTGGAGGTTCATTATCTCCAGGGGAGAATATGCACATGTTGGAATATGTTTGTTTGTGTAGTTGTTGCATGTATTTGTTCAAATAATGCAAATCCCACCGGTTTCCGATAAGCACCACATATCCACATATAATGAAGGAATAATATCTATCTATCTATCTATCTATCTATCTATCTATCTATCTATCTATCTATCTATCTATCTATCTATATATATATATATATATATATGCGCACACCCTGCGTCTAATAGTTTTATTGGTTATAATGGAAATTGTTCTGGTTTTAATAGAAACTGTAGTAGTCCCAGTGAGTCTCTACTGGTGATACGTTGCCTTCTATTGGTGGTAACTGTACAATTAAGGACAACTGTACATTAAGGACCAATTATAGTTTGCATTGGTATTCGTAGTGGAAACCATTAGAATTTCTGTCGTAGTTTATATTGTGTTTTTTTTTTTCTTCAGGGCATATTGTTACGTATTGTTACGTACAAATTATTAACATGTACTGATAGACTTAATAGACATGACTAATACCAGTGATACATACGTAGATGATATGTATATATAGATTTTTTTATTTTATTTAAACAGGGTCAGGTGGTAGAGTGGGTTGTCCACTAATCGTAGGGTTGGCGGTTTGATTCCCGGCCCACGTGACTCCACATGCCGAAGTGTCCTTGGGCAAGACACTGAACCCCAAGTTGCTCCCGATGGCAAGTTAGTGCCTTGCATGGCAGCTCTGCTACCACTGGTGAGTGTGTGTGTGTGTGTGTGTGTGTGTGTGTGTGTGTGTGTGTGTGTGTGTGTGTGTGTGTGTGTGTGTGAATGGGTGAATGAGACACAAAGCGCTATAAAAGTGCAGAACATTAAACATGTTGGAAAATTACTTTCCATTTTCATTGGCTAAAGATCTCAGAGTTGATCATTTAGCGAGCTCACCAGCACGTTAACATTAATAAAGGTGTATTTACATGAATGTGTATGTTGGTATATGTTGAGATACTATATAAATATGTCTAATATGTCCCACGTGTTGGCATAGCTCATGTACATGCAGTTGTGAGTGAGAATATAAAATATATTATCCAGAACAGTGCAGTTTCTTGTGTGGATATTGATCGTGTGTGTGTGTGTGTGTGTGTGTGTGTGTGTGTGTGTGTGTGTGTGTGTGTGGTATTTGGTGGCCTGTATTATAACCCTTTGCCGAGTGAAGATGTTCTGCAGGATGAGCTCAGTGTCAGTCCGTCATGGTTCAATATTTTCCAACCATTATCTATAAATATTTAATCTGATTTCTTTCTTCTTTTTTTATTTATTTGTTTTTTTTTTATTCCACTTAGATCTGAGTACCTGTGCAGCGCGGCTCCGCAGATGCTGGAGATGGAGGCATAAAGCCCGGAGCCGAACACTGACAGTTTCCACAGCGTGCAGTTTGCGGGACACACCAGCAGCGCGCGTGAGTCCGGCCGAGTCCGCCAAGTCCGCCGCGCGCGTGCCGCATCCTATGTGCACCGGAACTAAAGCACAAAAACAAAACCATACAGATTACATTCAAACCAGTGACTGCTCAAATAAAATGTCCGGAATTAGGTCGTGATAGACGCTTTGTAATATTTCAATCATATTGTTCTAGTACTTCATTATTATTGATTCTTTTTAATCATAAATAATTGTTGATTATATCATTCATTTCAAACCAAACTGAAAAGCATGTGCACATGTCTATAAAAGGAATAGTAAAGACAGACCACCTAAATCAGCTCCAAAGCTGATGGGCATCAGAGTCAGAATGCCTGTGTCAAATAAATACACATGTAAGACATAAAAACAAACAAACCATGAATTAAATGCTTAAAATAAAATGAGTAATACACACAAATAGTACTGTATGTTTCATGCACAAATATACAGAAAGCATCAGTTCAACGAAAACAC